CAACGTCTGGCAGGCAGATGCCGGGGCAGGGTCTTGCCTCCCCGTCCCCCACCCGCCTGCTGCCGCTCCTTCAATTTGCCATAAATCCACGTGTTTATCCCGGGAAGCCCATTCTTGCTTAATTTGGGGTATGACGGGGAGGTCCAAGCCCCCAGCATTGCTGTGCCCCAGCTTCGTCCTCGGTTGCGTCACATTGATGGGGGTCCTCTTTGAGGTCCCAGTTAAGGGACCAAACTGGCATCGCGCCCGTCGGCGTCGCGGGCGTTTTTCGGGGACAGCGGCTGGCTCTCAGCGGCAGCATGGGATTTTCCTTCAAAAACGGCCAAAAAGTCCTGCGAGGGGAAAGTCACATTTTGGTGGATTTTTTGCCTTTTTTTCAAGAGGGGAGACTTGGAGGACTTGCTGCCCTGCTTGAACCGGCTCAGGTCACCCCTAGAAATGCAGGAGCTGCCGATACGTTATCCGGGTGCATCCAGACGCTGAACCCCCGGGGATTTTTGGGCGATGAACCATTGCTTTGCCATATGACCCTTTAATTGTGCAACAGTGCTTCTCACCGCTGACGGCTCCTGAGATTTGCTGCCCTCGCCCCACTGCTTGTGCAAGGCCGGTCTTATGCTTCATGATTTCCCTTTTTTTTTGCAGATTTCTGAAAATACCCAAGTTCCCATAACACTAAAGTCGGGCAGAACGAGCCGTAAAATCCCCAGCCGGATGAAACAGCGGCTTTTTTACACAACCTGCTGAATTGGTTAAGATTATTGAGCCTTACTTTGCTTGGTGACGTGGGATTTTGTTGGCTGGTTGGCTTTTAGCAGCCTCCATCAAAAATCTGCCCGTCTGTCTAATATCAATCTGATTTTTTTAATGGGATGGAAATCCGAGCGGTGGATTCATGCCCGAGGTGCTGACACGGGGTTGATGCTGTGCAGAGATGCTGCGTGGTATGAACTTTAACCCCAATATTTAACCTTATTTAAGAAAAAGGAAGGCATTTCAATTAGTCAGAGATTTCAATTAGTGCAGAGGGCTGGAAAACCCCAAATTATTTCATTTGCTGCCTAACAAGGCAGAAAAATAGGAGACGGCATTGCTGGGAGCCGGAGGCATGGGCACCCATCGGCTGCAGCGCCTCTGAATGGGTCCCTGCATCTTGTAATACTGATTTTTATTTTATTTTTCACTTTTCTAAACCTTAAGCAGGATGGGGTCACCGTGTTTTCCTGCCGAAGCCTTGCAGTTGGGTGTGAAACGGGTTTGCAAGGAGTTAACTTCATCCCGCTAATTCAGGCGGGTGGTTTGCGCAGCGCTGCTGCCTGCTGCCTGGGTGCGAGACGCGCACCTGCCTTCGTAATTCGTAACCTTGCCAAAAAACGCACGGTTTTGGACTCTAGGTCATACCCAGCGGCTGCAGACAGAGGATTTCTCTGCTTGGGGATGTACCCACGTGCTCAGCAAGGATGCAGGCTGTGGGCTTTCTGTTGGGGTGGCTGCGCTGAAAGCAAGAGCTGGAGCCTGATGCCCTCACCCAAAACCGTTCTTCGGAGCGCGTGGAGGACCTACAGCCGGAGCCGCAGCCGGCGATGCGAATTCCCATGTGCTAAAAGCCTTCTGGCGCGCGCACATGGTGCTATTTAGTTCAAACCTTGAAGTCATCCCCAAATCAGCCGGGCAGCTCGGAGGAGGGAAGGGGGAAACCCCTTTGCCAGCATAGGCCAAGCCACAAAAAGAAATTCGGTGTGTTACTCCTAATGACACATATTCAGCGGCGTGTAATTGCGGCAAATAACCCCTCTTAAAATTGGCAGCCTTTGCAGAGTCCCCGGCTCCTTTAAATGTAGTTAAAATTGCCTTCATCTTGCAAACGGGCACGGCTGGATGGGTTTGCCCGGGCTGGGAGGTGGGGCAGGCGGTCATCGAGCCCCCGGTTCCCCTTGGGCTGTGGCATGGTGCTGCTGGGTTTTCTGGAGGAGCTTTTTCCCCCTCCTTGTAAAACCCAAGGTATCCCAAAAGTTTTATACTGCAATTCCCATGGGGCCGAGCACGCTGGGCGGATGCGTTTGTGGGAGGGAGATGAGCTGAATCACCCAGCCCTGCTCTTCCCTCGGTGTAAGAACGTTTTCATCGCATTTAAAACAGCCTCGTGGCAAAGGGGTTGGGGACGTCATTCCTCTTGGAGGGGCTTTTTTCTGTGCAGGGAGTATTTAGGGTTTGTTCCTAACCCCAGCTAAGGGCGTGAGGTTTAGGGGTGGGTACAGGCATTGCTACCTGGGGACAGAGGAGTCTTGATGGGCTCATCTAAGCTGGATGTTGGGTTTCTTTGCTGGTAGACCAGGCTACAGCAGTATAGATGAGCTAGGGAGTACAGTGCTGGGGTTTTTCTGATGTGTTGCGTAGGTGATACGGGCATCTCTTTCCAGCTTAAACCAAGGTGCAGAAGACATCAGCCAAGCCTGTATTAATGCACTTTGTGTCTCCCTTTTCAGACTAAAGGACCTCGAGGTGGCTGAGCTGGGGGACTCCGATGTCCACGTCAAGATGTTGGCAGCCCCCATCAATCCCGCCGACATCAATATGATCCAAGGTAACGTGCCGGCTGCATCTTTTTTGCATATTACATTCTCCTTGAGATGCTGCTGGGGGGATGTCTCGGAGGGGTTGGAGGCGGCTCCTGGGATGAGGAGGTCTGGGGTACGATGGGCTCCGAAGCTCACCTCCGGCTTCCCGGCAGGGACCTACGCCATCCTCTCCCCGCTGCCGGCCGTGGGAGGGAACGAAGGCGTCGGGGAAGTGCTGGAGGTTGGACGGCGCGTGGCGGCGCTGAAACCGGGGGACTGGGTCATCCCGGCGGGCGCCGGACTCGGTGAGTGTGTACCCGGGCATCCTCCGTGCCGGGAGCCTGGGCACGGATGGATCCTCACTCACCGGTGAGGTCCTCCTCTGCAACCCCCACTTGCAAAGCATCTTCCCAGGGGATTTCGGGGATGCTCATGCCTTCCAGGAGCTGCCCAAGCTCCGTGGTGGAGCAGAAGGCAAAGCCACAGTCATGGCCTTACGCGAACTGATGCTTCGGGAGCTGACGGGGGGATTTTGGGGGTCCCAGAGCAAAACAGTTCCTGCCCCAAGCACCGTCCTTGCTGGCTGTGGTTCGAGCCACGTGCGCCTCCCACCTACAGCGATTGCTTCTGATCAGATGTGACTTAAAATGGAAAAAAAAGCTTCATTAGAGAATGTTCTGGGTGAGGGAAGCAGCAGTTGGAACCCATTTAGTGCCGTATCAGCCTAATCATAAATATAATGGGCAATCCATGTCTCGGACAAGAAGCATCGGATAACCACTGGAGCTGCACAAAGGCATCTTCATTTCTTACCTGTTTATATCTTGGTATAAGTTTTATTCTTTCTGCCATGTATTTCTATTTTTACTGTTGTTCTATGTTTTTTTAAAGCGAGCTCAGTACCTGATCCCCAGCCACAGCGAGTGATCAGGGGGGCTCCAGGGAAGGATGGGGGTCCCTGGGAAGGGGCTCCTGTGCGCGGGGCACGTGCAGTGCAGAAATCTGGAGTGCTTGCAAGAGGAGCGGTAGCAATGCCATTGCTTGTGCTAAACTTGAATTTAGAAATAATCTATTTTTCCATAGCATAGACCCTTTATGGGTCTTCTGCACCGTTATAAAGCATCGCAGCAATCTGTACTTCTCTGGAAGAAAACGCGTTTTTGTCACATCTACTGAGAGCTTTTTTTAAAGACCTGGGATAAAGCATTTAACCTGTGCAAGGTCATGGTTACATCTCATTACCATTTTCTCCTTAATAGTGCTTTGATGGGAAAGCATGGGAATTTATTTTCCAACAAATGTCTCTTGTGCTCCTCCAAAATACCAATGGCCAGAAAAATTGTCGATTCTGGTTTAGTGTAACAGCTTGTTCTTTGCCTATTTCTTCTTAAAAGGCTTTTTTGCTTAATGGGAGAAGGAAAGCTAGCTAGTTAAGATCCAAATGTGATATTTTTAAACGTTAAAAAAAAAGTGAATGGGTGATAGGGAGTTAAATTGGATATAAATATAGAGGCACTAAGCCTAAGTAAATTGGCTTTGAATATATGGGCTCATCCACGGGATGGAGAGTATTTCCATTAGCTCCGCACACACTCCCTGTGCCCAGGGAGCCCCGGTCCCCTTATCTCTCTGGGAAATTATTAGACTTTGCTGGGTGATAAATCTCGGTAGGCAGCAGGGGACCCATCTCCTGCCTCTCGCAATATTTTGACCTTACCCATACAGGAAAACGTTTCATAATTCACCCTCTGGCATTTAGGCAGTGCATGGCGTGGCGATGCTGCCGCGGCTGGCGTTAAGGCTATGGCGTGAGTTGAGGTCTCGTAACGTTTTCCTTTCCTTGCCCTCCTTCCTGCTGCTCTGCCCGCGCTGCCTGCGCTGCTGCCGGTACCCCAGGGACGTGGCGGACGCAGGGGGTGTTCCCCGAGGAGATGCTGCTGAAGGTGCCCAGCGATATCCCGGTCCTGTGTGCCGCCACCCTGAGCGTCAACCCCTGCACGGCGTACCGCATGCTGGCCGACTTCGAGACCCTGGCGCCGGGTACGGCTTTGCCGGGCGGAAGGAAATCCGGGTGGACTCGCCGGTCGCTTCTGCAATGAAAATCGGGATTTATTTATATCCAGGTGACTCCGTCATCCAGAACGCTGCCAACAGCGGCGTGGGCCAGGCTGTTATCCAGATCGCCAAAGCCTCCGGCATCAAGACCATCAACGTGGTGAGGGACAGGTGAGTCCCTGGGAGCGGAGAAGGTCTCCTGTGGGGCAGGAGCTGCCCTCAGTGTGGGCTGGAGGCTGGCAGGAGGCCGGACAACTTTGGGGGCAGGATCTGGTTGTGCTGCCCATCCAACCTAGGATTTTCTCCCGTGGTCCAGCCTGCACCCCGTTTGCTCTTCCAAGGTGTCCTCCAGGCTCTGCTCCGTTGTCCCCGAGCTACATCTGAGCAGGAGGGAGGAGAAGGTGACACTTTGCTTTCTGGCTCATCAGGTCCTCTTTTTTTTTTTTTCTTTTTTCCCCTCTCCCCCAGACCTGATCTCCCAAAGCTGGTGGAGTGGCTGATGGCTCTGGGCGCAGACCACGTCGTCACGGAGGAGATGCTGAGAAAACCGGAGATGAAAGATATATTTAAGGTACCTCAATGCTGATCCCACTGGAGAGACCGTCCAGGCTGTCCCTGCAGCTCAGCGCTGTGGGGAAAGGTGCAGGGATGGTGGGAAGGACAAACCTCTCTCTAGATGAGGCTTTAGCCCCAGGAGATGAGGGCTTCTGATGCTACCGCAGGGCCGGGTCATAGATTTAAGCTCTATGACTCTTAGCTGCCCCTGGGTAAATGTTGAGGTTAAGGCAGTTGGTCCCTCAAGAAGCGCGGTCACATCCTCAAGAGGAACCCTAAAATGTGGGAACCTTCTTGGTAAACTCTTGCAGAGCATCCCGAAGCCCCGGCTCGCCCTGAACTGCGTCGGAGGCAAAAGCACTACGGAGATGCTGCGGCATCTGCAGTGAGTTTGCCCGGGTGGTGGCTTGGGCGCGGGCTCGGTGACAGTGGCCGGTACGGGGCGGGGGGTCCTGCTCCAGAGCCCCCCAAGCAGAAGAGGTGGCCGGAGAGGTTGTTAGCTGACGTTGGCGAGGGGAGGCGAGTGGAGAAGAAGTGGGTTTGGAAAATAGCAGTGACTTGAAGTTAACCCATCATCACCGCGTGTCTCAAACGCTGCTGGTGGCTGGAGGCAGCTGAGGTCCAGTTATGAAGGTCCCCAGGTGCTGGCCAGGTATAACTGGTGTATTTAGCTGCAGATTCAGCTAATGGTGCACGGGAGCGAGAGGGGAGCTCTGGAAAGTGGAGGCTGAGGAGTAACTGGAGGAGCTTTGGTGCGAGAACAGCCCCGTCGGTGCGGCGGTGGGTTTGGGTACAGCAGAGAGAGAGGTTGCAAGGTCAAAGCCGCACGTTGGGGACCGGTAGCTGAATACCCCCTTCCTCTTCCAGGCCCAAAGGGACCATGGTCACCTACGGGGGGATGGCAAAGCAGCCCGTGATGGTGCCTGTGGTGAGTCCTGGAGATGCTCTTCGTTCCCCTCGAGGCGTGTCCCCATCCCCTTGGTGCCGCGGGAGCAGCAGAGAGAGAGGTTGCAAGGTCAAAGCCGCACGTTGGGGACCGGTAGCTGAATACCCCCTTCCTCTTCCAGGCCCAAAGGGACCATGGTCACCTACGGGGGGATGGCAAAGCAGCCCGTGATGGTGCCTGTGGTGAGTCCTGGAGATGCTCTTCGTTCCCCTCGAGGCGTGTCCCCATCCCCTGGGTGCCGCGGGAGCTTGGCTCGCCTCCCTGCAGCGAGAGGGTTCGTCTTCTGCCACTGTCAGCTGCTTGGGTGTCAAAGGGCCTTCTTTTTTGGTAACTGCTGGGGTCCGTTACGGGAGGAGCCGCTTTGCATCCCAGCGCGAGTCTCTTGGCTTTATTGATGGAGGATTCGGGCTGCTGTGAAATCCCAGCGGCAAAATGGCCCCGCAGAGGCCAAGCATCAAACCTGCCTGACTCCACGCCTCGGAGTCGCATCTCTGCATCCCGCTGTGCCCTGACTCGCTAACGAAGGAGCAGGGAGCCTCATTGCCACCTCCCACTGCTGTCACACTGGGAGGGGACAGGTCTCACCTGGGTGCCTGGTTCCCTCTCTCCGCAGAGTGCGTTCATCTTCCGGGACGTGCGGCTCCGTGGCTTCTGGATGACCCAGTGGAGGAAGGACCACGCGCAGGGTGAGCCGGATGGGTGCTGGGGGACGGCACGGGAACGGGTTGCTGACCCGCCGCGCTGGTGCCATCCTCTTTGCTCTTACTTGTGTCACGAGTGCTGATAGTCCTCAGGGAGGCTGAAACGCAGGTGCTGGGCAGCGTGGCTCGGGCAGGGACCGTGGCGTGCAGCCATGCTGCGGCTATTGCCCCATCCCACAGGCTGGAGCTAGGAGCACATCCCACCCCGGCG